GAATTCAGGCTGGTGCGGGTCCCGCTTCAGCGCGCATTTCTCGAGGAAGTCATCCACGGAGGCGTACTTCATGTTCGAAATATAAAAGTTGTCGGCTTTGCTTACAATAATAGTGGTGGCGATCCTGCGCAAGCGCACAGAGAGAGAGGCAGTCCAGGAACGAAAGCAAAAACAAGGAAAGAGAAGAATGAGGCGAACGGCACCAACAACCCGCACACGCCGCCTCTTGCTGTAGCCCGGCCCGTCACCTGTGCACCACGCGGCGTGTGCACTGCGCACACACACACAGAGAGAATGAGAATCCAAGCCCACACATGGCGCCACGTGGCCCTTCCAGAGTACAGCGAAACAGTGCAGAAAAGGCAGCGGCATATTGTGCACTTTCAACGTGTTTTTTTTTCGTGTAGAAAACGAAAGTCACACACAATACTGATTTTTAAAATGACGACATCAGTTGTTTTGGTAATGCATATCCCACCACCGCTGTTGCGAAGGTCTCGGCAAATCATTTTCCGCACGGCAGTGTCCCCTAGGTGATACGGTATTCACGAGCCCTGCCACCTGAGAGAATGCCCAAGTCCTTGGTGCGGAGAAACCAAGGTGAATGAATAGCTGCCGTAGCTATGTCAGGAGATAAACTCATCAAGTTGATGTTGTCATACTCAAAGGATAACGGACGCGTTTTTACTTCGATGAGCAGCACATGTTGGTCGGTTATGTCTAGCAGCCAGCGTGGGTGGTGGGCCTATCAGTGGGCACGAACGGGCGGACGCTTTCACCCTCTTCTGTGGTAAGGCACCGTACATTTTCCCTGCTCCGCCGCGTAGAGTCACCGCTACTCACCACTCACATAGCCTCACGCAGCGCCGCACCCCACAACACATTCCACCCATGGTGTTGATCCCAAACGGAAAACCCATTTAACTGGATCTCTCACCTCTGAACAGACAGCATCCCATGGCATCACACAAGGCTGTTTTTGCCACATACACATACTCACACTCACATAATTCCTCACGACACGATACTCTCCCAACTATATTTCACCCTCTTCTCTCCTCCTCCCCCTCCCCCTCTTTGAGGGATGCCTAGTCACGCGCATTCCCCACACAAAGCCCTCGACCACCATGCGACACATGTGGTGGCTCCGCGACATCGCTGGTGCAGCTGGAGCAAGGAACACTCTCTGGAAAGAGGCAGCACCACACGATCGTATCACAGGCCTGTGGAGAACTTCCCCTTAATGGAACGGTGAACGCATTTCCCGGCACTCAAGGCCCTTTTCGCCTCAGACGTCTCGCTTAATAAGCCAGTGTATAAAAACAGATGCAAGAGAAGAAAAAGAAAAAAAAAGGAAGGAGGTACCAAGTGTGGTATTCAGAGGTACTACAGACCCCCACATGCCTATTCAAGCACGTTCAAGAACAAACGGCGTGAAAATGTCGTGGTATCCTCAGCGAACACTTTGTCAGCCGGACAAGATAAAAAAAAAAGCAGCAACAATGGAAACCAAGCACAGCAAGCATATGCGCAATCAAACAGAGCGCTACCCATGGCAAACGGAAGTACAGATGAGGCAGAAAACAGAGTGTCAATGAGTGAAGTTACACCCACTGTCATTCGCTTCAGATAAAATCGTGGTCTGGAATCGCCACCGCCAAACCAAGAGCTTCTCCAAAGAGAGTGCCTCCCACCCTCCCCTCTCGACAGAGTTGAGAAGAGGTCATGTTGGAGACAACACCGTCGCATTCTCAAACACGAACAAATAGCTCGAAAAGCATCAGCACCCCTCCAACGTCTCTTCACGAGCGCTCAGCTATCTAAAACGATGTGTTCTCGTGCCTGACCATCCGTGTCGATGGCTTTACATTGACGAACAGCGTACAGAATTCTCTCACGCATTGCATCAGCAGAAGAGTAAGAAGGCAGACGAAGTGTGAAGAAGCATGTGCTACTCGTTGGGAGAGAGTTGTGGGCTCCACCACGTTGAACCTTTATTGCCTCCCTCAACGGAAGTCTTGTTTGTCCGGTTGTGAAGCGTAATAGCAGCATTCGATCTTCATCCGTCATTGATGAAATTACCTCCAGAAACATTTGTGCATCACCTGCAGGTAATCCTACTTCGCATACTTTACGTAGCGCGTCGTAAGACAATTTGGGCGTCCCACACACACCCAGCTCCACCTGCTGCCAACGAAAGGCATTTAGTGTATACAATGGAATCACTTCGTCGAAACCGTGTTGAATGTAGCCCATTGCCGTGTCATATCTGTGCAGCTCGAGCATGGAAATCTGTTCAGCAAGTAGCTCGGCAGAAGGTGTGTTATTTGGGGGAAAATCAATCTCAGCGCCAACTTCCGGGTTTTCGGCACAAAACATCATCCAGTTCTCCTGAATGCCGGGAAACCTCTCCTCCAATTCATCGGCGGTGCGATCCATCAATTCCTCTGGTGTCAGTTGACGCAAAATGTCAGGATCCATTGCTACCAGATCTCGCGTCGACGTTTCTTCGGAGAGCAAGAACTTCCAGAATAACGGCGGAAACTCCACCGCAAGAAGATCCTTTGTCACAAAGCACGCTGCAAGCAACTTACCAAAAAACTCGAACATAAGAGAAGATTGAGAGGCCACTGTCAACGCCACGTTGGGCATTACGGCCGATTGGCCACCTCGACCACATGGAGCAAAAAGCGGGTTCAGCTGAAATGTGCCGCTCGGGTGTGTCGTCATAACCTCTGTTGCCAGCTGCGATAGAACATCACGATACGGCCCACCAGCGTCAGTGGAGCCAAAGCCTGCAAGTTTCACCGTAAACATTGGTGAGGCGTAGAAGGTCGAAATGGGGCTTCCCTGAAGCTGCACAAACAGCTGCCCAAAAATGGAGCGCATGAGTGTTGGATATGGTCCAAGTCGCGCAGAGGGATGTGCCTGCATTGTGTGAATAATCACACGGGCCTTGTTACCTGGACGGTTTCGAAAAGGTCTCATCGTCTCATTTTGAATCTTCTCTGATGACTCAGCAGAACAAAGGCCCTTCAACTTATTCCACAAGTCAAAAAGCTCCGTTTTGCGTCTAAGGTCCACAACGACGGAAAAAACAGAAGTCAAGACATCAAAGATCTTCAGACGCTTGACGTATGGAACCAAGGTATGTAGGGGAACCTCCGTGCTGAACGCGCTGACGCCCAAGAAAGCCGACAGAAGGGGGAACCCAGCCAAATCGTGTGAATGGGCAGTAACCATCGCAGCACTTTCCACGGAATTAAGCGATTCTTCTGGACCAAGAACAGATTGACAGTAAAGAGCCAACTCAGCATAAAATGCATACGACTGCGGAATAACAGCGGTATCAGGGCGATCTGGATACTGTTGCAAGTCGTTGTACAGCTGGGCAACGTCCATCCCCGTAGACACCTCCGAAAGAGACTCACCGTCAAATGTAGCATCCCCTTCCCTCTCCGCGTAAAAGACGGGAAGTGCCAGCATTTCATTCGGGTAAGTTTCAAAGCGCGTCGTACTTTCACTGCGTCCACTGCGATACAGATCAATGATGACAACCTGCTCGTGGTACAGGCATTTAACAGCAATAACGTCTCCAGCCTTTGCCCTTACTTTGAGGGGTTGTAATTCTTTTGTGTGATTGATGCAGATAAATATTTTACCGTTAGGTTCAATAAAATAACCACTAGACGGCAACGCAACTCTTGGTGATCCATCTTCTACACGCGGAGTCTTTCCAGGACGAGATCCAGGCAAAACTGCATCCATATCCCAACCAACAACAACGCTCCCGCTTCGTGTGGGACCCAGAACTACTCGAAACTTTTTGGTGCCAAATGTACAACGAAATGTCTCAGTGAAAACACCATAGGAAGACTTAAATCCCTGTTGGGATGGAGGACCTAAGCGCAATTCGTAAATAATGCGATGGGTTTCCTTGGGTTCCTGAGTGAAAGCCTCAGGTAAAGGAACTGGTGGATTGCGTGTAATGGCACCGATCGCAACTTTGGTACAAGTGACAATGGCATAGGGCACCGCAGAGTTTTTCCCTGGAGCTACAAGTGTCGGTCGCTCCAACTGGTACCGTCGAATCAATTCACAAATAAGTGAGATGCCAAGTTGAACAACAACAGAGGACATTTTCCCCTTTCGACATAGTCCGTTCATCATACCCAGTAACGGAGCAAAAGATGCACACAGAGTCTCATGAGACGGTAAATCACAATGGGGAGTCTTGAGTAGCTTGAGAACGCTGCGAAGAGCAACATGCCGAACAGATCGGGTGTACACCGTTGCCGTACGAAGCAGTAATAATATCAAGGTAGATCCGTATGCAGTTGAAAAAACCCGCGATAAGCCATCATTATTTAGAGAGGCATAAATGATGTTGACACTTGTCTCTACCGTTTCGAGGCTCTGTCCTACCGCTGGGGTTGCAAGACATGCATAAGCTTCTCCAATCAAAAAAAAAGATGCCCTCCGTGTACCTGCAGAAACCAGGCTCTCCAAAGCCACTAAATCACCTCGTAATGGGGTAAATGGTAGCAATGATTGAAGACGTTTCTGTACCTTTGAGGGTTTGGAAGCCACAACTACTGTCCCAAGGAGTTGCCTAGCATATGAAATTATAACAGCTTCTATCTGTGACACAAGTCTCATATCACCGCTACGTAAAGTAGGTGCACCTACAGGGGTTCGTGAATGTCGTGTTAGTACCCCTACAGTATGAGAAATATTCGGAGAAATGTTAAAAGGCTTCAGATGCGCCCAAATAGTCTCCAGCGTTTCACGTGTGATTGCTGACCCAGCCTTGTTCATCATCCGCCATCGCAAGATTCGCACAGAAGAGCCTGGGCCAGAAAGAGAAAACGCCAAGTGAAATTCAGAAGGGTAACTGATTCCAGGAAGCACCTCATACATTACTCCGCCATCAACCGATGCAAGTACCCGTTTCACACAAGGGAGGACAAAAAGACGCAGGTGGATATTCCTCACAGAGGCCGATGGAGAAAGATAAGATTCTCCAAATTGATTAAGCACGGGCAAAGGCACACTGACGATCCAACTTGTAGGTGAGTGTTGAAAGGTTATTTGCACAGGGTGGTGTATCGAACTCAGAATAAGCAACTCCACTTCGTGTGCCACTGGCCCCCCAAATGTTGGTTTCGTAACAACGCAGAGTGGGGGGTCACCATGGTCAATTTGTTGAACATACCTATCAGATACCTCAAGGCATTGAGATTGCACGTGTAGAATGACATCGGAATCGATCCAGCCTTCTCTCGGCTGGAGTTCTACGAAGAATTGAGTCATTTCACTCTGTGATCCTTCGTCGTCATCTTTGTTATGGCTCTTCTGGTCAGGTTCGATCTCACTGTGCAACTTCAAAGAGGGTATTTGAGTAACGCGGACTCCACGATGCCACGTAATAGATGACGTTCCAGTAAACACAGGCGGTTTCGGAGGATCAGTGCAGCAACTCAGTACCGCACCATTTAGAACAAAATTCTCTTGCAAGTATTTACCGAGATCAAGTGAGACAACTGCCGTGGTATCTGTCGTTTCCTTTACTGCTAAAGCAGTATTCATTATGCTGAGAAAAGCAGACACGGGAACATTTCCTGCGTCAGCCTTCACAGGACCAACTACCAAGTACAATGGGCTCTTTGAAAGGCTCTCCTGCAATTGTTTTATCACCACTTGTGTCTCCACTGATGAAGTCACACTACGACTCCATTCTTCAACGAAAAAAAAAGTTTGTCCATGTTCCAAAATATTCCTCCCGTTTGAAAAATCAATTTGAGAACCTTCCGGCGAAGTAACCACAAACAACGTGGCATCCGTCTGTGCATCAACCTGCCACACTGACACCATGGAGGTTGTACGGATAGGATCAGATACCCACCACGTATTGCGCTGCTGCAATTCCCCACTCATGTCATTCGTCTGCACAGTCTTGTGAAAATGGAGCTGTCTGTTACAAGAGCATTTGCCAAGCATGCCAGAGAAAGTACGCCGCCGCTCCAACAGTCTTTGTTGAAGACCTTTCTCAAGCTCTTCCCAAACTGGTGATTCATTGAAACTGATCTCCTTTACACAATTCCATTGCACCCATTCAGTGTGTCCGTCGACGAAGTAGACAAGGCATGTTTCCTCACATTCACCAAGAATCAGACCCTGAAGCGACGCAAACACAAGCACAGGCCTACCAACTCGATGCCCCAAAGGGATGTTTACCTCTTGGGGGCTGGCCACTATCTGGCTTCGGTATCCGCTGTTCCGTTTAGATAATGCATAGGTGATACTTCCCTTAAGGACCCGCTTTTGATTCTGAATTCCCATAAAGGGAGTCACACTCTCTGATTTTTTTCCCACGGTGATGCCAATGTATTCATTCTCCTCCTCCACTGCACCCATGTTCGCTCTCACACCATCGGCTTCAGAATAGAAGAGGACACCCCCACCACTTGTGGTATGAAGAAAAAAGGCCACATGCTCTCCTGGTGGAATATTTATAGGGTAAAAACCTGCCACCTCAGTCTCCACCTTCTCAACAAGTTCCATGTCTCGCTGTAGCGCAAGTCGCCACTTCTGCCGCTCAGTCTCCACGCCCATGAATGTCCCGTCTCGGACAAAAAGCGACACTCGAGCCGATGAGTTTGTGTCTGGAAAAAAACTCAGTTTTGTCACTTTTATTCTCTGTCGTTTTGCCACCAAATCAAACATGATACCATTATACGAACCAGCTCCTTCTTTCAGATTTGTACCAATTCGAAGACATAGTACAGGTCCATCCACCGTTTTTTTAGACTCCTCTGCAAGTGTACCTGTTTCATCTAGGACTTCAGATATGTTTTTTTCTGTGTTTTTCATAAGCTCCACTGCTCTTCCAAATGTGGTGTTTTCGCTTAAAAATGAGGCGAAACTGCTTAGAATATGAGCACAACTCCATCTGTCGCCTTTCATGTCACGTATTCCGTGGGATCGTAGTCTAGGAGACGCCCCTTTGTGATGACGCTCTACATAGTGAGCATCCCACAATACGCATGAAATGACGTCATTGCCACTTAATCTCAGGTATATGTTTTCTGGACTTACATGCCCATGTGGCAGGCAGTGAAGGTGCCAATGCTCCAATGCTCCCATAATCGACTTTGCGATAACCCCCTGTTGGTGTTCATTAAACTTCATCATGGAAATGGAACTCAAAGTACAGTCATACCACCCATGAGTAATGACACCGCAGCAAGATGTTCCTTTCACTCCTTCCACAATCTCCTCTTGATACATTACACACGGGTGTTTCGTGACAACATTGCAAGCCTTGACACATGCCTCCGAATCATCGAGACGAAAAACATGAAGGGTTCGCTCACTTGGTCCATCATCACCGAAGTGCCACAGGCGAACCATGAAGCTATTCTCAATCCGTCCGACAACCTCATATCTATCGGGTAAGAGCAGAACGAAATCATCACCAATGTTATTTGCATCTCTTAGAACAACAACAGATTTATCTGGTTTCTGTGACAAATCATTGATTATCTTTTGCATTTCGGTGCGACTGCAAAATTGCTCCACCTCTTCCTCAGATGCATGTGCCATCGTCCTCGAGAAGGCGCCCAATTCCACAAGAGACTGGAGCGCAACAGACAATCGGTAACCAAATCTTGTAGAGAGAAAACGGTTATCCCATGTGTCCTCAATGACAGAAACTTGCACCGAAGGCAAAAGACCTATCATGCCGCGAAACACAGCGAACATGGAGAGTACCACACTGTACGGAAAACGGCGGAGAATACTAGGTGTCACGGGATGTGAAGTAAACATCATGGAAGGCGGCGTCATAACACCACCTCCGTCACCCCAAGCGCCACATGAAAGCGGTGCCAAAGTCGCGGATGCCCTTGCATGATCAAGTCGAACAAACGGTGACAATGGTATGTTTGGGGGAATATTTCGAAAGACGACTCTTGGTGACTCATTATCCCTCGCCAATGACAGTGTGCCGTCTTCACGGTTGAGGAGAAATCGCAACTTCGTTCCTGCCAAAAACAGCTCGTCGCCTGAGGCACTAATGGGTGGCATACGCTCTTGGGTCGGCAAAGAGTCAGTATCGTATACATCCTGCACTGCCCATATACTGTTAACCCTATTGCGCAGCATCTCGAAATGCGGCGCTAGTTCATCAAAAGTTGACACCACAATTCCAGCAAAATGCCCAGCCCCGAGAGAGTCACCACGTGCACGATCACTGCGTTCAATCCGTACAACAAATGCTGATAGCCCAGAGACTGGGAGATGTGAACCGATAACTGCTTGACCAGAGGCGCCATTGCAACTAGCTGTCAATCCATTTTTGGAAACAATCACTTTGAGAGGATCGTATGAAACCCACTCTGGTGAGTATGAACCCAATTCAGTAGACCAGTTGCCGGAACGATCCATCATTTTGCGTGGCTTCGCAAAATTTTGGCATTGAAGATGCGCCTTCACAGGATGTGATCCCACATTCACAATTGCTATCGTTGGTGGTAAAGATTTGGTTGATGACAATTGAAGATCATCAAATGCAACGTGGCAACGAATGCTATCATCTTCGTCATACACAACGAAGTCACCATCCACGGTGAAAGCAAGGTTAAGCTCCTCATCACGTGAAATGCTGAAGCTGCGATGAATCACTCGCTTGCGGCCTTCATCCCAAAGTAGTTTGCTAACGGTTTTGGAAATGGTCACCTGTGCCTCCAAAAAGAAGACATTGTCATTTGTTTCAGATGTTACAGTTAGTTGACAAAATCTCGGTTTATCTTTTGACCACATTGCATTTCCAAAGCATCCATTCAACAAGGACGCTTTAGTAGGCTGGAGCTCCACACAATCCGAGCCGTTCGCCCACAGCCAACGTTCCCTAGGTGTCGGTACAGATGGCGTCAGAGATGGCAAGGGTGCCTCCTGTACGTTCAAACAAAGATGAATGCAGCCATCTCTCTGCAAGCACGAGTAGTGTAATGAAGATGCGAGTGTTGATAACGGTTGATGTATCTTACCTCCCCGACCCACATAGTATGTTGCTGGTGACGACAAGAGGTCCTCTTTGCTGCCATCTTGAAGAATTGCTGCCAATGACACCAGAAACACCTTTACAGGTGTGTCGGCTGCAAGGCGATAGGGGAGGTCGCAGAGGAACACGACACTCCATGAATCCACAGTGGGAGTAAATGAAAGAGAGACGTACGCCTTCATGGATTCGCTGTACAAGAAATGGGAAACAAATCCAGCTACCACTCCGTCCTCTTTTCCTTTCGACAAAATATCAAGAGGCACCGTATACTCTACCGTGTGACCATCTCGCACCACGCCCAGGCAGTGTGCTCTCTTTGACACATTTGTCAATCGCTCATCAAAGCAAGGGGCACAAGACGCCGGATCTTGCACGAGTGATCTGACCTGTGCGGAACTAACCTCGGAACTTACATTGCCTCGCTGAGAGAAGTACTTTATCAGAATATTAATCAGCTGGTCTTCTTCACTTGATAAAGGCATGTGTTTTTTACCTGTTGCTCCACAAATTCTTGTGGTTCCAAAAGGTTGATGGCAATCCTGGCACTCAATAATAGGAAGCAGGCTATCCAGCGACAACGAGTAGTGGTTAGTAGCTACTGTCTCATCCTTCACAACCACACAGGAATTTTCATCAGGGTCCTCCAGAAGCCGGACCAGTCTCCCTGTTGAACTTGCATGCCCATCTTTGGCTACAAGTGCCAAATCACCTTTGGCAAATGAACTAAAGTTGGCCATGTCACCACCAGAAAGGGACAGTGTCAGGATGCCTTCACGCAACTCTTCCACAAGCGATTCCTTCATCATACTGCTCAGCAGATTTCCTGCTGTTTCCGCGTCACAGACAGCATTGGTTTTTGGTGTAGCAAGTTTTGCGAGGGTTTCAATGACGGTACTGTCTTCAAAGGGTGTTGTGCATGATGTTGTACCACCAGCGTATGCAATCAGTGCTGCAAGAATACGCGCGACAACAAAACCCTTCAACGCAGGGAAGATAGCCTGATTAAGACCAAGCGAAATTTCCTGCATGAAAGCACGGTAGGTAATCCGTCCACGAAGCGCCCGTGGTTCTGCTGGTATTTCAGAAAATGGTAATGGCGATTCGCTCTTTTTCCCTACAAAAACCGTCACGACTCCGTCATCCTCAAATTCATCGCCAACGTCACCAACATGACCGTCGCTACTGTTGTAGAATCGAACGCCGCAACTTGATGTAGTGTTAATATAGAGAGCATACATCTGGTTAGCCCGCAGTTGTAGATTAAGGAGACCTGGAGAAAATGGTTGCTTATCCGCAAGGTAGAGATCCTTCGCAACCACTTGTTGCCACTGTGATGGTGTCTTTTCTGCGCCTTCAATGCTACCTTCTTTCCAGAACACCTTCACGTTCACGTTGTCTGTTGTTGTCTGCGCAACGCAAAACACCTCCTCCAGTAAAATATCCCGTTTGCTTCGAATGTCAAACATAATGCCATTATAAGACGCCGAGTTGTTTTGGTTGAGATGCCCACCAGTAGATATAACGCAGAGATCATCCGAAATGATAACATTATTCGTGACTGTGGCATGTATCTCTCCAGCAAGGCCCCGCACCGAGTACACCTTGTTCTTCACAGTGTAGCTTTCCTCTTTTGCCTTGAGGAAACACGCTAGGCGCTCTCCTCCTCCTTCTCCCCGTCCTACGCCTACGCCTCCCACATCCTTCTCACAAACCGCATTAAATATATAATTCCCCCTCTTCAAAAAAACTTCCATGTCTTCCATACGAAACCAACAAGTGTCACTGCGAAGAGGCATCACCGCATGATAGGCCCATACCCACCGCCGCTCCTTCTCCTGCGCATCAGCATGGCTATCCATGGGGGCGTAGAAAAGAGACACACGCAACTGCAATGATCCAACACACTGTCTGACGCTGGAATCCAGGAGCATCGGGAGGTAGAGTTTTCGAATCACAATGGGGCCACCAATAACCTCAACGACAAATTCTGCTGTAGAAGCCAAAGATGATGTTACAGGGTGACTTCGTAGAATCACAGTGTTACTGTTCTTATCACAATTCGTGTAGGGTGTCTCTACAGAAGATGATGATATTCGTTCTACCAACGGAGGCCTTGTGTCCATGCTCTGCATGTACATAATGGAGCCGCAAAATCCCCGTGGCGTAGAACTTGTTTCGAAAAATGGTGAACTACTTTCACTCGTGCGTCCCACGAATACAGTAAGCGTTCCATCCGAGTCCATCTTGTTTGAAATAGCCCCAGTGCACCCGTCCTCCTTCGAGTAATGTCCAACCCCACAATTGTGTGTGGCATTTATATAAAGGGAGAAGGTTGTATTAGCCTCCGCCTGAATTCCAGGGAACGTAATGGTGAACTGTCGCTCCGAGTGCATCTCCACAAGGTTTGAGAACACCTTCGTCCAGGCTCCAGCCTCTCGTTCATGCGTGTGGTGTGATCCCTTCTTGAAGAAGACCTCCACTCGATGTCGTCCAGTTGTGTAGGTCAAAACGGACAAACCCGTCAGTACGACAGGATTGTGTGCCTGAACATCAAACATGATTCCATTGTAAGACCCGTTGCGTTGCAGTCGATACTTTGTTTTACCAACTTCAAACACACGTGTAATACTGCTGGAGGGGAGCGTGAGGAGCGGATACAAACCTTGAGATACCTCTTCAGGGCCCTCGTTTTCCAACAAGTAAATACAGCCCATTTCCACAGAAAACCAGGTACGTTTCTCTTCATCATCTCGTATATTTGCCGCATTATTTTCGATGGACATTACAGTACCACGCTTTGGTACATTCAAGCTCCCGGCTTTAAAAGCCACACGCGTACCTACATCAATTGTCTGTGTATCTGCAGGGAGCGCACAGTATCGGACTTCTTTCCTCCTCACTGCGTACCGCCGATTTCCCTGGCATGGGCATATACACTCCACGATTCCGATTTCTGTACCGTAAGTGCGAATAACTTTACCGAGGTGGGACTTCCCGTATAGAGGTGGAACAGTTGTTGCGATCATTCCCCGCGTAGAAAAATAGACAACAAACCGTTGAGGCGTAGAAAGGAACTCCTCTGATAGTGTCTGTGTAGCAATAAGCAACCCATTTCGATATACAGTGAGTATGAGTTGTTCTTGTACAATAGTGATAGTATCACCAATAGAAAAAAGCACGTCCGTTTCTTCCTGGTGTACCAGTGGGGCAAGTTCCCACGACGCAGCGGTTTGTGTAGTGGTCCGAGCAAGAGTATCGAAAAGAAAACAAGAGGTATTTATAACCTCACAATTGGAATCCATAACATTTTCTGGGACAAGGCCTATAGCCAGAGGTGAAGGGCTTGGTCTCACGATGCTATCATTCAACGAGACAAATCCACTACAAGAGGTAACATGGCAACGGTCGTGAGAAAAAATGGCAACGCGGAGGTTCGCTTCTTCTTCAACAGGGCAGTTACAGGTCACCACTACGGGGTGCATGTAAAGCCCTGAGAGTGAAGAGCTCACCATGATGGATCCCCTCGTCATGTCAACAAGAAGCCACACGGTTAGAGATGGTGATATCTTTTTCCTAGTATCACACCAAGTACCCCACATATTGTGATTTGCGATGCGACGTTCAAGCTCAGCCATGCTTATAGTTCGGTAGTCACTCAATAAATTTGTCACACCAATAAATATCCCAGCCGCGTTCAATGTTCGGCTCTCATCTTCACTGCTAAATTTTAACTCCATCACAACTTTTGTGCCGTGTGGAATCACTGAGGAACTTACCAAAAGCATGTCACTATCAACACTGCAGCGTACACTCGACGTATTTTCAATTCGCCACAATGGACTAAAAGGCTGTAATCCCCCAAATGAAAAACCGTCCACACCAGCCACATGTCCCAGACAAACATCAATACGCTGATTACCAAAGGCATTGAATGTCTCCAGTGAAGCGAAAGCGGTGTCTCTTCTCGCCACACAGATGCTTCCCTCTATATCCACATTTACACTCTTATCATCTACCCAGGTAAATACCGTGTCTTCAACAAACTCTACAAAGCTGTCTACAAGCAGTTTCCTTGGACTATGCTGTGAGACAAGATAGTCTGAAACAGGTACTTCAGCTTGCGACAAGTGGAACATTGCTTTGGGGTATTTCCAACAGGTGAAGCAGTCACGGCACAAGCAAATGCCACCCTCACCTTCGTACCAGAACGACTCCAAGTCCACCTCGCATGAGCTACACCGCATCGAACTGGAGCTGTTCTTCCAAGACGTAACGCTGCTGGGAGGAAAGATACTCCTCGAAGGAAACATGCTGCATCCCAAAAAGGAGAAAACCACAACAGAATTCGGACCCGCCAAGATAAAAGGCCGAAGTTTTTCCTTACTTGGAATTGTCTCGAACAAGACACCAAAGTCCACACGTTTACCGCATCTTATGCGAGAGAATGATACCGTTCCCTCACCACGATCCACCTGTACAATAACAATATCTCCTGAGCCAAATAAAATGTGTTCAGCACTAATAATCATTCCAGGCTCAACCGAGCAGTTGATGTTGTTCGTCTCCGTGGAGTCTTGACAGCACAAAGCCCATGTTTTCTTACAGAGTGCCACTTTTCTAGGATCTACATACATCCTAGTCTCCGATGAAACACCCACGTACCATAGGAAGTCTTCATTCTCCTCAGTTGTTATGCTCACTGCGAATGAAAACACGTCTTCAAGTAGCACATTGCCACGAATCACAGAATAGCCACTGCGAGAAGTCACACCAATGGAAGGATTAGGAGCAAAAAGTGAGTTGCTCGACAACCGCTTGTCAACTGTTACAGGAGTTGCTGACGCTACTTGGCGACCATTGACCATCTTGAATGAAGCTGAAGTCGATTGAAGCCTTGGCAAAAGTCCATCCAGAGGAGTTGGAGGAGCCTGTTCTGCTGCATCGGCCACATCAGCACCACGACATAGAAGCCCCACAAAGTCCAAGTTCATGGTATTTGTAGTCGACTCAAAGAAAAGGTCCTCAATTTCCCTTCGTCTTTCTTCTTCGCAATTCAGCAGGGGCACAATCACAGAAGCCTCGTACAGACTCCGGCAGAGCTCTCCGAGAAGCCAGGTGGAGCACTTCAGACTCTCCGTCTCAGAAAGGGAAAATATCGGTGGGCTTACAAAGGACGGTTTGAGACTTAAAAGACTCGTAGAAAATAAGCGCATGTCTCCATCGGCTTCGAGGCAAACAATAGCCTTAGAGGCAACATCAGATATGGAATCCAAAACAACTGCCCCATATGTCTTGTGTTGGCAAAACTCACAGCTCTTTTCACCGCCTAATATAGCCAAAGCAACAAGACAGTTCTCAAGATTCTGCTGGGATCGCGCCAAGAAGCGACGAACCCATTCTGATACTGCATTACCAAAGTAAGGGACAACGTGAAGTTGTTGAAGAGTGTGAATTGCCACACTGCGCTGCAAGCCATTCAATAAGAGTTCGGAAGGATCCTCGTCCTGTGTGGGTGCCTGAATCAATTCGCAACTCGCATCTTCATTGAAATGGAAAACAAATGGGTAAAGATCGTCAACGCGTTGAATGTTGGCAAAGGCCAAGCCAATAGGTATCATCTTCTCTCGGTAATACGTAATCTCGCCCAAATCAGCATT